GGGATCTCCCCTTCCCCACAGGAGTGCAGGGTAGTGCCAGAGAGCTGAATTCCTCCTGGCTGAGCAGTCTGCCAGTCCTCCCTTTTTCGCATGTTGTATTTTTAGGTAGGGAACCATTGCCGGGGTATTGGGTGCTGAAGGTTCAGAGAGGACCAAGAGGTTGGGGGTCCTCAGGTGATAGGGTGAGCTGTGGTGCTGGTTCCCCAGGGTGCGCGATAAAGACCTATGTGGCTAGTAACATGGTGAAAAAGAGCTAAGCTCATCCTCGGAGTATTTGGGGTAGGGGGTGGCGGTGGCTGGGGTAGGGAACTGTGCCCCCGGAGGGGGCTGGGCTGTTTGCATGCTCTGGGAGGCGGGAGTTGGGGGAAGCCCTTGTGAGAGAGGAGCCTCGAGGACCTTGAGCCTTTCAGTGGAGGGGACTGATCCACCTTTGTCTTGGCAGGTGAAAAGCAGCCTCCACCTCATCCCAGATCACCTGTCCCTCCTGAAACTCTGCCCCCCAGGGACTGAGGAAGGTAAGGGGGAAGTTCAGGGAGAGGCCCCCAGTGCTGGCCTCTCTGAGGTGACCTGGTGTTTACAGGCCTGCATTTAGTTGTCTCCTGAGACTCAGGGGAAGGGCATAGGAAAGGTGAATTCTGCACCCGAGCTTTTTTTTTTCCCCAAGAAAAAAGCTTTTGAAAGGAGTTGGCTTTTTTGATTAAAAAGATGCAGCAAGTGCCTCTCCCAACTTACAGGCATAAGTGTGTGCTAACACGGATTTCCAAGCTCCACAGAGATTCTGATTCTGTAATCCCTGGGCGGGCATGGAACGGGGAGGTTGCTGAGAATCTGTGCCACCTTGCTACGTCTGCGGCAGATTCCTTGGGAATGTTCAGGAGCTAGCAGGTGTTCTTTCAACCTTACCAGGACTGCTCAGCTTTTGTCCCTCCCCAGAGGTGTGATTCTTGCAGAACTCCCAAAGCAGTGCGTGGCAATCAGTGGGCAAAAGACTTGGACCAAGATTTCTGTTCCATGAGGAGAATGGTGGGGTGATGAATAACGGATTTAGGAACCAGTCTGTCTGGAACTAGATCTCGGCTGTACCTTCTGTGTGAACTTGGTCAAGGTTATACTTCTGGTGTTTCTGTTCCTCAACAGGAAAATGGGAGTAGTCATGGGCTTCTATCAATTTTGGTGAGAAATAATTAAAGAGAATACATCAAGCACCTCTTTTGGGCGCCTTATTTGGTTTAGGATGGTAACTGAAATGGAGAAGAGTTACTGAAAAGTTTCCTCTGGGCTACTCAAAATATGGGCCTAGAGCTTTCAGTGATGCAAAATCTCAGGTCTCTGGCAACTGCCATATTTGGCTAGGGCAGGATTTCTTAGCGTTAGCACTAATATTTTGCGCCAGAGAAGTGTCCTTTGTTGTGTGGGACTTGTGTGGGACTGGCGTGTTGTAGGGAGCTTAGCAGCATCCTGACCTCTACCAGCCCTTCCCCCTCATTGTGAAAACAGAATATTTTCCAGACCTTGCCACGTGGCTCCTGGGAGGCAAAATTGCCGCTGGTTGTGAAACACTCATTTAGGATTTGTTTTCACAATATTTATTTTTGTGGCTAATGATGATCTTTACAGGTGGCAAGCAAATGGAAAAGACCTTCAATATTCGAGAATAACAGTTGGTTTTCTTTTATAAGAAATTTAAGTTAAAATGAGTGTTTTAAAGAAAGCTATTAAGTACCAAAATAGAGACTTAGCAGAATGTGACATTAACACTCACATAGATGGAATTTGAGAATCATGGGTTAGAGGCCCTGTAGTGATCTCTCAGCTTCCCTACCCCCCGCCCCCGCCCGCCCCAGGCTCCCATGGTCTCTGCCCACCAAAGTGAGCATGGGAAGAAAATGAAACGCTTAAAAAAAAAAAATCACCCTTTGAGAACATGTTTTGCGTGTGTCCTGTAACAGCTATAGCACACAGTACCTTTCCATTTTCTGGGTTGTGTGCTCAGCCCTTTTCATTGGTGGGGTGCACACGGCACCACACAAGTGCAAGAGAGCACAGCTGCTTTGGCTGGAGCTGCCTCTGGCGCTGTTGGCCCAGGCCCAGCACGCCGCCGCCCACCTGGCACCTCACCGGGACGCTCGCCGCTCTCACCTGGCACACTGCGGCTGTCCCTTTCTCTGGGTTGGCTATTTCCCTTTGGCACACATCCCTTGAGCCTCCTCCCAGTATTCTCTGCCTTTTGGGGGTCCTGCTGTTCCTTTCTCAGGACCTTCGAATCTCGCCTTGTTTCTCCTCCGCTCCCTCCCCCTCCTCCGCTCACCTTTCTTCTCCTCTGCCTGCAGACACAGACGGCCCAGATGGGGATAGTCCACATGCGGAGGAGCCCCCCTTGCTAGATGACCCCTGGAAGAAGCGGCTGAGGAAAAAGGATGAAGAAGAGAAGGAAACAATGTTTCTGTGAGTGTTGCACAGGGCCTTAGGAGCATAAAGGGGTAGCCTGAGGTGGGCAGGACTGTGGGTGGCTCCTGAAAGGGTGAGCTGAAAGGCTGGGAGGAGCCAGAGGCTCAGGTGACGGAATGAAGCTCTGGCCCACTCTGGGCCACTCGGGAGAGTGACAGGCCCCTTCAGGACCCCTGGGCAGTGAGGGGTTAAGGGTGTGCTGCTGCCCCGTGGCCGCTGCCTCTTACCTGTCCTCCTGTGCTCTCCACGCTTCCTTTCCTCTTGTGTAACAGAGGGTGAGAGTGGTAGCTGTGTCAGACAGGTTCTGAGTGGTTTCAGAGTTACCACAGGACATATGGGAGGTGCTGGGGTCTGCTGGATGTTATCTCTCCCCGGCAAGGACGTTTTCCTTTCTAATAGTTGGGTCATATAAGTATTAAACTGATGACTCAGAGCCCTCTCTGGTGATGCATTGGGCTAAAGCACTGCACTATGAAGCTGTCTGCAGCCACTGCAGCACATGTTCGATCCCTGGCCAGGGAGCTGACCCACATGGCATGGCAGACCTCTCCTGACCCACCAGCTGCTCCCCTCAGCAGTGTACTTCGTCAGTGTACTCTGTCTCTGGTGACTCCTCTCACCCCCTGCACCTCTGGCCTATACCCCAGTTTTTGTGTGCATAAATAAAAAAAACACCTGATGACTCAGCTTTTCCTGGGCCTCCCCGCCTCCTGTCTTCTAGTTGGGAGGAATGTCGCTAGATGGTGCCCCTCGGATACACCAGTGCCCAAGGCCCCACAGCCCATTGACTCTTCCTCCACCCCCTTCTCTTCTCTGCAGGTTTCAGGACGTCTCTCCTCTGCCCACACCTTTGTCAAGGACCAAAAGCAGAAATCATACTCGGGCACTCCAGAAGCTGAGGTGCCCAGGGCGGGGGGCTGCTGGCTGGGGCGGAGAGCAGCAGCCTGGGGGCTCTGACCCAAAGTCCTTGTGCACTCAGGGAGGTGAACAAGCGCCTCCAAGATCTCCGATCCTGCCTGAGCCCCAAGCAGCGCCGAGGCCAGGACCTCCTGAGCCAAGAAGACGAGGTGGTACTGGTGGAGGGGCCCGTTCTTCCTGAGAATCCCCGGCTCTTCCCCCTCAAAATCCGTTGCCGGACTGACGTGGTCAGGTTGCCCGTCAGAATGGTAAGTGCCTAGAGGCCCTGTGGGAGGTCCTGGGGGCTGTGTGGTGGTGCCGTGGTGTCTGGCAGCGGCGACTCCAGCCCTGAGCAGCTTTCCTGCCTGTGTGCACACTCTGCCCTGTGTTGGGGCGTCCTCCCTCCTCCACTCTCTTTCTGACATACTTCCTGCCCGTTCTTCAGGGCTTCGCTTAAGCAGCCTCAGACTTTGCTTGGTAGGTCCCTCCCGGAAGGAGCATCCTCTCCCTCTTTCCTTCCTGGGCCTGTGTTTGCCCTGACTGCATTGCAGGCATTGATGTCACTCAGTCATTCTGAGCGCCCCCAAATCCTGGTGGAGACTGTTACTGTAGGGAGACCCCGATTCCAACCCAAGAACAACTGACGAATGACTGAGCAGTAACCGTGCATGGGGCAAGCTGCTGAGCCGGGTGGCCTCATCAGTGGCAAATCTTGTTTTGCCCTGTAGAGTGCTTTTAAAGGGGAGTAGCCCATGGCCAGTCGTAAGGGGGGCTTCACATGGCCCAGCCGTCTGACTTCTCTTCAGGAGGAAGATGTGGGCATGCCGGCCCATGTCCCCATGGGTACCAGGTGCAGGCGCTGCAGAACAGCTGCCTGCTCAGAGGGGCACGTGAGTTCCAGTTTGCCACGGTCCCTCCACTCTTTTCCTTTTGACCCACAGCGCCTTCATCTTTGTGTTACTTAATCTGAGCCTATAACTGACGTGATTTTATTCTGTCCCTTGCCAGGTAAATATGATGAGCCTCACGCCTCAGGAGCTGAGCAAGTAGCAAAGGCCAGAAACCTGTTTTGGGGTGTGGGACGGGGTAGGTTGTGTTGGGCAGAAAGGCCTCATTGTTTCTTGCCCCCTCCCCAGTCGGAGCCCCTACAGAGTGTGGTGGACCACATGGCTGCCCATCTTGGGGTGTCCCCAGGCAGGATCCTCTTGCTCTTTGGAGAGACAGAGCTGTCCCCTACTGCTACCCCCAGGACCCTAAAGCTCGGAGTGGCTGACATCATTGGTGAGAGGATGACGGGGAGGAGGAGCCACAAGGGAACGTTGCGGGCAGGCCCAGAAGAGGGTTCTCTCTCCCCACCCCCAGACTTAGACTTGGCCTTCTCATCCACCTCCCACAGACTGCGTGGTGCTAGCAAGTTCTCCGGAGACTACAGAGACATCCCAGTTGCTCCAGCTGCGGGTGCAGGGGAAGGAGAAACACCAGATGCTGGAAGTCTCGCTGTCTCCTGTGAGTGGGAGGGGCTCCCGTGCACTTTCTCTTCCCTGCCTGTGTCCTGTCAGACTCCATCTGGGTGGGTGCCTCCTAACCTCGAGGCACTGCCCTCCGTGGTCTGGGGTTCCAACCCCCACCCTGGATTGGAAAAAGCCCATGGCTCAGCTTCTCTCCGCACCTTGCTGAGAACCTCTGCTCTGGTCTGTGCATTCTCTGTCTCTCAGCTCCCACTTCCGGTTAAAATCGACAGGAACCAGTAAGCCCCATGAATATGGCAGCTAACATTTCTGGGAGACCATCCCTGTGCTGAGTGAGGATAAGGACATTCAGGCTGTTACTATTTTCACAACAATCTTACTGAAACACTGTTTTTACCCCAGTCAACAAATTAGAAAACTGAGGTCTAGAGAGGTAGAGTGACTTGCTGTGTTTGCTTCCCAGAGCAACTGTAACAAAATACAGTCTGGGTTAAAAGGGAAATTTTTGTACAGTTTTCAGGCATCACAGAGACATGCTTGTGCCTGGACTCCGGATGGAACCCCTTTTGGCCTTTTCTAGCTCCTGGTAGTGCCCAGAGTTTCCTTGCCGTGTCGCCCTCATCATGCCAGTCTCCGCCTCTGTCACCACCTGGCGACCTCGCCTTGTGATTTAGTGCCCACCTACTTGAGGGTGACCTTGTCGTAACTGCATTATATCTGCAAAGGCCTTTCTTCCCATGTAGAGGTTCCAGAGGTTACGTAGGACCGCAGGTATCTTTTTGTGGAGACATAATTCAGCCCACAACTAAGGTCACATTTGGTGACGCTGGAGAGCCCAGCCAGGGTAGACCTGCGCTCAGGTGGTGCCGCTTCCTCACTGTGACGCGAGACTCCGGCCTGGAGCGGCCTGACCTGAACTCCACTCCTGAACTTCGTGCTCTGCGGCCCGTTTTCCAGAGAGGAGACTGACTACTGGCTTCTCTGCCTACTTGCCTGCTCCTCAGTGGACTGACTTGACTCATGTGGCTCCTGTCCTCTCTGTCCTGACATGGTCCCCAGCTCCTCTTTTCCAATTCTTAACGTCTGATTTTCCTCTTCCAGGATTCTCCTCTCAAGACCCTCATGTGCCGCTACGAGGAGGCCATGGGACTCTCGGGTCACAAGCTCTCCTTCTTCTTTGATGGGACAAAGCTCTCAGGCAAGGAGCTGCCTGTGGACCTGGGCATGGAATCTGGGGACCTCATTGAGGTCTGGGGCTGAAACCCCACTCCCTGTTTGCAACCCTGCTGGGCTTGAGGACAACTATGCCTCTTTGGCTCTCTGAGGGCCACAGAAGCTGATGTAGAAGGAGTGATCTTTGGCCCCCTCTCCTACTGCTCTGGTTTTAAGCCATCGGTCCCCTGGTTCATTGTGGAATTGTTACCCTGGGTGGCCTGTGGCTCCAGCCATGACGTGCTGAGCTTTGCGTCCTGTTGGGACATGAGACGATGTCCTCCACCCACCCCACCTTTCATGTCCCCCATCGTCTGTCCCTTCGTTGAAACATCTGTCCTATGAAGCTGCTCATATATAAGGAGTGAATTGAAATAAATGATGGTTAGGTATGGGGTTCCGGGATTCTTAATGTCTTAGTCTTAGTGTCGTTTGGGGGCAGAGAGTGATGTTTGCTTGCAGTGCGTGCAGGTGTGGGCCCTTGCTCGCAGGCAAATCCCTGGGCCTGCTCACACCTGCGTTAGCTTAAGCGTAGAGACACAGCAGGCTCCTCTTGAAGCTGTTGCCAGTCCTCAGCATTGGTGAGCTTTCTCAGGCCAGGCCTTTAAGTTCTTTAAGGCACGACAGCACATTCCACCTTTTTGCTTTTAAGTCTCAGGATTATGGTCCCTACAAGGCTTTTCCAGTTTTATGGCTTCTCTTTCTGCCCACCGCCTCTCCCATAAGCACCCATTCTAAGGTGTTAATTCCTTGCTTTTGAATGTGAGTGTGTCCTTGCAAGATGTGTCCACATGTCTGTACATTTTACGTGTGTTTCATCATTTTGCATCTTTCTTTTTTCACTCAACGTGCGTTGCTTTTTCTGCATCTGCTTTGTTGTGTCGAGCTGCTCTGTGGTGTTCTGCCGTGGGTGCCCCTGTGTTGCACTTAACAGCTTTGCTAAGTGGCAGGCCCCTGTGGCCTCCAGATCCCCAACCTATCCAAGGTCACCCTGTCCTGTGTCCCCTTCTATGCCAGCGTGGGAAGTTCTCTGGCCCAGTACCCGGAGGGGTTGGTGGGCCAGAGAGGTTCTAATTTCTCTTGAGCGTGATCATTGACCCCCCGCCCCCTGTGAGTCTGCACACCGCGTCCTCTCTAGCACTTGATGTTGCCACACTTCCTAATTGCTGCCAGTTTGATGGGTACAAAGTGGCATGGTGTTTTAGTGTACGTCCCTCTACTCGCTAGTAGTTTGGGGAATTTCCTCATGTATCAGTCTTTCCTGACTTCCCTTTCCCTGAACTGCTCATTTATCTTTGCTCATTTTCTTATCAGGGCTTCCTGTCATGCGTTGGGTTTATTCTCAAGAGTTGCTCTTCTGTTCCTGGGTAATTGGTACTTGTATTTGTCCTTCATTGCACACAAATTTTCAATGTAGATAAAGTTACTTTGTAACATTTGTTGCTTTGGGATTTCTTATTTAAAAGTAATTATCAGGATAAGGCAATGGAAGGCTTACAGGAATTTGTCTTGAAAAAAGAGTAATGTAGAGTATATAACGTGACCACACTCAAAGTTTTTACATTTTCTCCTGTTAGCTTATTAGTTTCTCCTTTCATAGTCGAGCCACTCACGAGGGCTGAAGTCTAGTCAGCGTGTAAGTCTAGTCAGCGTGTAAGTCCAGTCAGCGCGTAAGTCCAGTCAGCGCATAAGTCCAGTCAGCGCGTAAGTCCAGTCAGCGCGTAAGTCCAGTCAGCGCGTAAGTCAGTCAGCGCGTAAGTCAGTCAGCGCGTAAGTCAGTCTGCGCGTGCTGGTGCGTGTCCTGGTTGTCGTCTGTTCTGCACCATCAAACACCTGTTTCATTGGTTGATGCAGGCTGCTAAAAATTGACTTATGCCTTCTAAACTTTTGACTATTCTCCTTTGTGGGAGCCAAGTTTTGCTTTCCTCAGATAATGAGCCAGTTTTCTGAATGTGTCTACTAATAAAGCCATTACTTTTCCACTGATGTGGTATAATTTTGGCAAAAATGTGTTATCGTCCTAAAATTTTTTGTGGTTGGAATGTGGCATTCCTTTGCACTTACAATGTAAGGGGGAAATAGAGAGCTTTATCACATTTAAATAATCCATGATATGGTGTAGCCCCCCCTTTTTTCCTACAGATTTCTTATGTCTGTTGTGTTTGAATGCATTAATGTATTCTGTCTCAACAGAATAAATGGAAGTACATTCCACTTGAGTATACTTGAGGACTTCTGTCTTTGTGACCCTCATGGGACCCCCACCATGTCTCCTGAGACCATTAGTTGTCCCTCATCCATTCTTCCTTCCAGGGCAGGTAACAGAACCCCTGGTTTTCAGCAAAGCACAGAGGCTTCAGAATGAGGAGAGTTCACGGGAGGGAATGCTGATATGTATGTAAGTGGGGGGCATGTATCCTATGTACCCCTCTCCTTTGCTGTCTTTTCCACTGCTGACTGGAAGTGGAACAGCTCCACTCACACGGGGTGACCTTGAGAAAGAAGCCACACAGGACAGGACAAGGGAGAGGAAAGCCTGGGTGTCAGCAACCATGTGTGGAATAGCCCCCCATGGCTGACCCCTGGGCTCCTCTGGGACGGGGACCTGCATCTTTAAATCACTGCTATTTAAGGATTCTGTTCCCTTCCAACCAAACCTGGTTCTAGCCCCAGGATATTGGTATTCCCAGTGATAATATAATGATCCTGCCTGGGCCCTCGCTGGTGGCTCAGCAGGTTAAAGCACAGCACTATGAAGCTGGTACAGCTGTTTCAGCATGAGTTCAATCTCCAGCCAGGGAGCTGACACACATGGCGTGGCAGACCTCTTCCAACCTGCCCCCTGCTCTCCTCAGCAGTGTACTTTGTCGATCTGCCTGCTCTGCTCCCCACTCTGTCTCTGGTGAATCCTCTCACTGCCCCTGGTCTGTACCCCAGTTCTGTGTGCATAAATAAATCTTTAAAAAAATATGATACTGTTTGGATACCTGGATGAGATTTTCTGAAGTTTATTTCTAGGAGTGGAATCAATGCATGTCGAACATGTCCTAGCCAGTCTTGCGTATAGTCACTCTCTAGCTTTGTGGATGCTGGAGACTAGCTCTGGCGAATAGGGTTGAGGAGAGGGATCTGAAAGAACCATTGGAAGCAAAGAAATGACAGACACAAATAGAGTTTAAGAGCAGCAGGCCCAAGGGATGCAAAGTTCAGTACGAGTGCAGGCGTCCCGAGTGCTAGAGCAACTCGTAGTATTCAGACAGATCGCCCCTCAGGCCAGTAACAAGGCCATGGTTCTTTTATTTCTTGGTCTTCAGCATTCTGGCACACACTCACCGTCAAGCTTCTGCATTATTAGGTTTTGCCCTCTTTTCTAATTTAGTTTTGTTTCCCAGACATAAGAAAGAACATCCTGATCTGTATACGGCCAGTCTTCCAACTCCTGCTAGTCAGTCCTTTAGCCATGACCGATCTTCCAGCTATGACTCTGATATTTTCCTTGTCTCAGCACTTAATGCCATAAGGGCCTCCAACAGGTGGGTCCCCCATGGGTGGATTTCTGTGGATCAGTAATGAGTGTAATGGTTGTATCTGTACAGAACACACAGTCTTTTTTATTGTTATTACTCACCACACAATACTGTATAGCAACTATTTACATACCATTTACATCATATACGGGATAATGAGTAAGCAAGAGATGATTTAAAGCGTAGTTGTGTATCGATTATATAGATGCAAATACTTGATATAAGGAACTTGAGTGCTTTGATTTTGGTATCCCCTGGGGTTCTAGAACCAGTCCCATGTAGAAACCAGAGACTGACTGTTCTGTCAGATTATTCATCAAAGTACTTGGACCTCTACAAATCCATTATCAAGAGCTAGAATGTTCCAGTTTCATCTCCCCCAACAATTAATCTGGGTAGGATTTGGGAAGGACATGATAAGAGATTGCTCTTCCTGTTGGTCAAAGAGATTGATCACCTATCATGTGAGTTTTTTCCCAAACTCCCTTGATTAGAAGTCTATAATGAGCCCTGACTCAATACTGTATACTGAGCTTGGTACTTTGCATCATCTTATTTGTCCTCAGATTAAGCCTGTGAGGTAGGTGGAATAATTATTCCCATTTTACAGAAGAGAAAGAAGCTTAAAAAGATTCATTAACCTGCCTAGATCACACAGCCACCTCATGCAGAGCTGGACGTGGCACCAGGATTTGAGGTGGCCTGACAGGACTCGAGTCTTAAGACCAACGCTGGCACTTCAATGTGCCACAGTTCAGCCAGGAGCTTGAGAGAGTATAGATGTGGCAACAGCTCTGGGGGGAGCTGAGGTGCTGTACTTCTTACAAGCTGCTGACCACACCTTAGCAAGATGCTATTTTTGCCTTTTTTCTATAGCTCTGCATCTTTGAAAGCTTGTGTCTGCCCACTCCTTCCATTCCAATGCTCCAGCTCTGGTCAGTCAATCTGTTACAGGGCAGGGAGAGGGGCACCACTGGACCCCCAAATGTAACACCTTCACAGAGTCCCATAGGACTGACTGCATGTTCTTGTGGGTCCCAGCTCAGAGGGGAGTGGGGTCTAGCTCAGTACATCTTACATTCGTTGATCTGTGTCATTCTTTGTAGTTTGTTCTTGAAGACTCCTACTCTTGTGTCTGCCAAATAGTAGTTACCTAATGTGAATACATTAAATTCCTTGTCCCACACATCCCAAAGAATCACCATCCATTTCATTGTGAGAGCCAGAAACCTAATTTAATTTTTTAAAGAATTGTTTATTTATGGATATAAGAACTGGGGTACAGACCAAAGGTGCTACAGTCCAGAGGTGTGGGTGGGGGTGTATGTGTGAGGATTCACAGACAGTGGGAAGCAGAACAGGCAGACTGACTGAAGTACACTGCTGAGGGGAGCAGTGGGTGAGACAGGAGAGGTCTGCTGCGCCTTGTGGGCCAGCTGCCTGGCTGGGGAATCGAACCTGTGCTGCCATGACTGCTGAGTGTCTGCAGATGGCTTCATAGTGCTGCATTTTAACCCCAGGCACCACTAGAGAGGCCTCCCAGTTTTATTTATTTATTTATGCATACAAAACTGGGGTACAGGCCTAAGGTGTGGGAATTGAGAGGATTCACCAGAGACAGGCGCAGAGCAGGAGGATGTACTGAAATACACTGCTGAGGGGAGCAGCGGGCGGGTCAGGAGGCTGGGTCACTTCCCTGGCCGGGGATCGAATTCATGCTGTGGCGGCTGCGACAGCTTCATAGTGCTGCGCTTTAACCTAGTGTGCCACCAGGGAGGCCTCTTAGTTTTATTAATGACACCTCCTTCACCCCACAGGACCTCCAAACCCAAAGCAACTCACCTGCCCGCGCCTGCCCGCAAGGATTCCACAAGGGGGCGCAAGGACTTAAGTTGGATTGGTGGGGAGGAAAAGCCAACTCCACGCGTGGCTGGTGGGGTTCTGGGGATGCCTCAGACGCAAGGGCTTGGGTTGAGAGAGACAAATTGTAGGCAAGGTGGCAGTGCCAGACGCCGAGGCTGGGGGCCGCTGCTCAACATTCATTCATTCAACACTGAGCACTGGAAGCCCACACCAGACGCGAGCAAGGGAAAGGTTACCGGGAGCCAGATCTGTTCGCTGACATTTCTAGAGACACCGTTTCCAGAACCTCAAGAAGCCCCACGATCTCGTAAGGGAAGCAGTCAGCCAGGTGGGCGTCGCACGTCCCGCGATCAGGGACTGAGGGGACTTAACTGCTTCTCCGAGACGGCCTCTAAGGTGGCCGCGGTCTGAGCCGGAGCGCGGCCAACAGCGACGCACGGGCTGCCGTGCGGGTCCGGGGTTGCCCCGGCGACGGGCCGCGGGTCACGTGACAGGGGAGCCGGCCCGGGAGCCCAAGCGACTGGCTGGTGGTGGCGCCGCGGCTTCCGTAGTCGGGCGGCGGGTCACGTGTGGAGGGCTTCGAGCCCAGCCGGGCTCCAGCGTCACATGACCGGCCCCCAGGCAACATGGCGGCGGCCGTGGTGCAGCGCCGGGCCTGAGCGACAGCCAGTGTAGTGGGCTCCGACGCAGGGTGAGGGGCGGCCTTAGCCTAGGGCGTGGGCGCCGGACGGCTGGGGCCCTCCTCAACCTGCACGTCCCGGACATCACCCGAATTCCCCACCGCGGGACGGGGAGGTGTGACAGGGCCCGGGTTCCATCCCAGCCGTGCTCTGTGCTGGGGGGCAAGCTCCTTCCGGTCTCTGGGCGCACCGCCCTCGCCTGGGTTCCCTCCATCCTCGTTTCTCCAGCCTCCTCCCCTCGCAGGTGGGATCGTCGGTGGGACCGCAGCGCGGGCGGGCGCGGTCTCCCGGGACCATGGCCGGGCCCGACTCCGCGCCCTTCCTCAGCCAGGCGGATGACACGGACGACGGGCCGGTGCCCGGCACCCCGGGGTTGCCGGGAATCATGGGGAACCCGAAGTCCGAGGATCCGGAGATCCCGGACCGGGAGGGGCTGCAGCGCATCACGGGCTTGTCTGCGAGCCGTTCCGCTCTCATAGTGGCTGTGCTGTGCTACATCAACCTCCTCAACTACATGGACCGCTTCACCGTGGCTGGTACCGACTTCTGGTGAAGGGAGGCGGTGAAGGGAGCTCGGTCCCGAGGGTGGAGATTTGTTGAGGAGCGCATGCTGACTCTTCTCTTTCCCAGGTGTCCTTCCGGACATCGAGCATTTCTTTGACATCGGTGACAGTAGCTCCGGCCTCATCCAGACCGGTGAGTAGGGCCCTGCCTTTCAGGCGCACAACATCTCTCCTTTCTTTATGGGGGCTGCCTGCTGGCGTGTCTGGGGCTTCATTAATGATCTAGCAGTGGGAGCGGGAGGAGCAAAAGACTGATTCTGCCCTGGGGCAGCTGAGTTCAGTTAAGACAAGTTTTAAAGAGGAGCTGGTTTAGTGTAATGGTTAAGACAGACCTGGTTTGAAGTCTCAGTTTTCCACCTACTCAGTGTGTGATGCCAGTGGGCACGACCCTCAGTCTCCCTAAGCCATTTCTTAGGGAGACTTGAACTATTAATAACCCAGATCACCTGGGTGATATGAGCCGTAAATGAGATAAGGCTTGTGAAGTGCAGAGTGCAGTGTTGGGAACATTGTAGGAGAGGGTGTTTGAAGTGGGGACAAGTGAGTTTTACTTGAGAACATTCGATTGTGGGAGTGGCCAAAGGAGGGCCAAGTCCTCCTGTCCCTCTTTCAGTCATTTCTTGAATGTTTCTGAGCACCTGTTATGAGTATTTCCTGGAGAAGGTGTTGATAATATTTTAGTGACTGTTGTGTTCCATCAGCCAAGGATAAGACTTCATTAGCAAGCCCATTTCTTCCTTTTTTCATGAACATGTGTTTATTGAGCACCTGATTTGTGCTAAGCCATGTGTTAAATGATAGAAACATAGTTGTGGCCAGTTCAGGCCTTGTCTTCTTGGAGCTGGTATTCTACCACATGCAAACTAATAATGAGATAATTTTCCATAGAAATAAGGGTTGAGTGAAAGAAAATAGTGTAGTGAGAAGGGGGCCGGGTGTGTGGGGGTTGGGAATGTAACTGAGCTGGAACATGATGACACTAAACTCTGTTATGATCAGAGAGCAGAGAGAATATTCCAGATAGTGGGGACAGCAGGTGTCAGAACTGCTGTCTAAGCTAAGATGGCAATTGGGATGTTGGGGTGCAGGGAAGGAAAAGTAGGTGAGCATAAGGTTGGGATGGGGGT